GGAAACATGCAAACTCCACACAGAAAGACCCCGGCCTGATGGTGGAATTGAACTCAGGACCTTCTTGCTGTGCGGCAACAGTGCTAACCACCGTGCCACCGTGCTGCCTGAATACATTGTCCCCCTCCAATAAAAGCATGAAAGAAGCAGGGGATTTACTAAGAAAAAAAAGAAACACTATGCACAATAACAATGCCTCACACACAGATGAGTCTTTTTCTTCAACAATAGGTCTTTTTCCCTCCCAAAGATATGAATATGAATTATGAGTTCATACAACCACAGAATGTTTTGTGGTAAATATAATTAAGCCTGCAACACAAAAACGTGCACATACAGTGTTTTGATATCAACAAAAAAGCTGCACATCCTGTCATGTTTTCCTCTGGCTGTGTGTATGCAAGCAGCCTGATAGGAATGGAGGATAGAGAAAGAAAAAGGAATTTTTTTCCCCAAAAATGTCTGAAAAACAATATAGCTGAAAGCCAGTTTTGGATTCTTTTTTTTAAACTTTAGATGTGCTGTTGCCTGGGTTTGTGTTCAGTCAGGCTCAATAACATATTTGAGGCATGCATGAATGTGCAGAAAACTTTGGACATGAACAGAAATCTTTTTGTTAAAGTTAACATATTTAGTGAGCAGGTAAGAAACAAAAAAGTAGCCCGATATCAGGGAAACTTGTCACACACTGACTCTCAAATCTGGAAGACAAAAACATCATAGAGCCAAGAACCTGGCTGCGTTATATTCTTGTAGATTTTGAATCATCTTTGCTTTGATTTTCTTTTTCTTTTTCGTTTTTTGCTCTTTTCTTTTTTTAGTTAAATTTACTTCCATGATAAATGTATGCACAAAGTACTACAATTTGCATCAAAATTGACCAGATTGCTCAAATGATCCCATACTGATGCTTTCTTTAAAATAGGAATTTGACACAGGGGATGAAACTGTGTTTTCTGCAAATCAATATATAACTATTTCTATCATCTCAAAACACTGCGCTCCTACAACACGGCACCCAAGAGAAGTATTCAGTACAATGGAAGCGCTAATGCGTGGTACAGTGAAGGGAA